TACTCATTCATTCTTTTCTTCTGAACGTCTTGCCAGGCCTTTTCTCAAGCTCATGCAACATTAATTATTCATCCGTTTCTCTTCTAGACATTTTGCCAGGCCTTTTCTCAAGCCTGCGCAAAGTCAATTACTCATCCATCCTTACGCTCATGGTATCCTTCTCTTTTGCACGCTTTTTCTTCGGTAGATGGCACACCTTCCCCCCACTCAAAATGCGATGTCCCCATCGCACGACTAGTTCTCACTCGGAGGTACGCAGACCTTGGCCCACCAACTGAGTAGACGGATGCCGGCCCATCAGCCCCAAAAAGGAAGGGTGAGTAGTCCTCCCCCTGCTGATAACTCACCTCATCCCCTACTCCAGTCCGACTTTTTGCTGCTTACGAGACGGGCGCCATCACAGAGGTACCACCCCACATCTGGAAGGTAGGTCCAGTCCAAGCCTCCCAGGACCCCATCTTGCCGTAAGTGCTTTCTCGCGAATCGTTCCTCCCGAGCGGTGTTCTCTTGGATCCGGCCTCTTCCTTTCAAGAGAGTTGGGGCTCTCTATTAGTCTGCGAGTGCAGTTACGAAGACCTCGCGGTTAGTCCCGGAACGGTTGTAATGATCCGACAGGGCGGTGTCACTCGCCCTGTGGTGGTTGCGGCTTCCACCCGGTACCACGCCCGATTCCTCCCTCTGGACAGTGCTGCTCAACTTAATGCGAGCGGTCATGGTCCATTCCAAACGGTCGTGCCGCCCCTCTACGGCATGGCGTGTGGTTGGGGAGAAAAAATGAGACTTAGGAAAAAGAATGGCTCTCTCGCCCGTTTGGCACCACGCCCTTGACGTTTAGGTTTCAACATGAGGCGCAATTTGAACTCCCCGACTAGAGCTTGTTGTCGGGGTTGGTTCCGGACGGCCAACATCAATCAAAGAGAGAGGTGCTTTGGTCCTTTAACCCTTATTCCTTCTTATGAGGAGCAGGTCGCGCTGAGACTTTTCCCTTAACGGGTAGAGGTCTTAGGGTCGCGATGCTGGCATTGCTATCCCCCTTATGTTGAGACCTGTAGCTTGAAAAAAAGAAAGTTCAATCTCTTGCTATTTCCACGGTCGGCCCGACGACCTTACATCAAGTTGCCTAGGGTCCCCTGGCTATGCAATACAATATTCAATCTTCAAACACTAAATCCCAAGCTATTTCCAAGGCTAATTCTCATGGCTGGTCCGACAGCCTCTCATCAACAAGGCTACCCACATGGCCGGTCTGGCGGTCATTCTCTCAATAGCCATTTCTCAAGACTGCCCCTTCCGCCCATTTACTCCTCAATTCTCTCATTCCTCAACACCCAATCTCTGTGACCGTCCCAATGGTCCCTGCCCTTCTCGGCTTTAAGGCTCCGCCTTCTTTATCCTGTCCTTCTCATTCATATCTTTCTTCCGCCCGCTTGGCTATTTCAGCGACCGACCCACCGGCCTTTTCCATCTCTTCCATTCATCCCATTGGCTATTTCAATGACCGACCCACCGGCCTTTTCCATCTCTCTCATCCATCCTTTGGCTATTTCAATGACCGACCCATCGGCCTTTTCCATCTCTTATTGCTCATTCCAGCACATTCTCAATCAACCTTTCTCAATCAAATATGCAGGGGACCTCAGTGCCTATTTCAAAAGGAATGACCCTTGTCAGGGGCCACTCCCGAACAACCTGGTTAGGGTCGTTCTTTTCCATTCTCAAGTCGAACAGCCTAGTTAGGGCCATTCCTTTCCATTCTCAAGTCAAACAGTCTGGTTAGGGCCATTCCTTTCCATTCTTCAAGCCGAACAGCCTGGTTAGGGTCATTCCTTTCCATTCTCAAGTCGAACAGTCTGGTTAGGGCCATTCCTTTCCATTCTCAAGTCGAACAGCCTGGTTAGGGCCATTCCTTTCCATTCTCAATGTTAGTGCCCGAGGGGGTGGGCCTCAAGGTTATGGATCCCATTCCTGTCTTGGAGGTTAGAAGGTGGCCATCTCATCTTTTGCATGCTGTTCTCTTTCTTCCTTCTCTCACGGTAATGTACTATCCATTCCATTTCTTACAGTAATGTACCATCCATGCGTACATCCGACTTAGTGTCTAGCACTCGAGTTGGGGCTCGCGACCCCAAGCAGCACTAGCCCACCCGGTCGTTCATCCATAACAAAAGACAAAGGCGCCCCTTCCATTTTCACTCTTCCTGATCACTCAGGTTCCGACTGTTCTCAGTCTCATTCATGACTCAGTGGGATTAGGCTCCTAGGGAAGGAGTGTTCTTCACGCCCCTTAACCCATAGGTTCCCTAACCTCTCTTGTACTCGACCAATCATTCAATGCCATGGTTCGCTCGTCAATCCGTACTCAAGGTTTTCCCCTTTCAAAAGCATAATCCTTGTTCCATCCAGAATTCACAATACACCCTCTCCCAATTGGTCTCATCCCAAATCCCATGTCTTTGTCTTGTGTACCCACTTTCGAAGGTAGCTCATCCAAAAGTAGCCCCAATATGCTATCTTCTAATCTTATCACGACACAGTCGTAGCTGGCCCTTCCATCACTCATCCTTTGCAAGCGTACTCATACTATACACATTTTGCTCCAATGTTTTGCAATTGAGAAATAAAACCAGGATTCTTGCCCAACACTCAATCAACATCTAATGCCTATTGTTGTCTTGTGCCTCAACTTGCCCGTTTCCTGGTCCACCCTGTTCCTCGGCAGGCTTCCTAACCCCCAGGCCGTAGGTCTCGATTTCTCTTTTCATCCTTACAATTTTCCGTAACTCTGCCTCGTTGAAAAAATCCAATGGCGTGGCTTCCACCCCTGCCCTTGCGAGTTCCCGAGTCTTGATAATCCATTCGTGCCTGATCACATTGGTCCATTGTTGAAACCAATGACTGGGCGTTGGCCCAAACTCGTCCTCCCATCTGAAAGCCCCGTCACCCGGCTGGTGCATCGGAGGCCGCCCTTCTTCCCTAGGCCTCGAGATCTCATCCCTCTCATCCCCGCTACTGATTTCTATGACTTTTCGCACATCCTCCTCCTCGTCCTCCTCATCTTCTGTCTGTATGGGGCTATATTCACCCGCAAGGTTCTTTGGATTGTAGGTAAAAGGAATCTCTGTCCCCGTCCCATACCCTTCGCAACTGTCGTGGCCGCTTC